ACGTCGATAGTGAAATTAATAGTGTGTAAATGTTCACACAACCTTACACAGCCGCACAACCATTCAGCTGATTTCCGATAAAGCTTTACGATTACAGAGATAAAAGGAAAAAATGATACAGTGTTCCCATTAAAAGCACACGAACAGATGCAAGTGCTTGTGAAGTTGTGAACAAATAAGTTGAAAACAGTTATTACAAAGGACCATGAAAGGAATCCAATAATTATACATTTAAGAATTGTTTATTGAAATTAATAGTAAGACAATCCGAGATATTTTACACTGGGAAACACAGCGAGCAAGAAGTATAACGAATTAAACTTGATATACATATGCTGACACATTTTTAAAATATATATTTAAAGAGTTGCTTAATACATACACATGCTTACATGATGCATATGTCATATTGGTAATTTATGGCGGGAAAAATATTGGTGGTTCGCAAGAACACCTCTGTACTTTACTTCCCGATTCTACGAAATTAATTTAATAGAAAGATATTGCATATTATGCAGCTTTTGGTAGATTTCATATATTTGGTTCAGAAGCAGGGAAAGGATACGAGAACAAATTTAACTGGGACACTTTCGCGAATCATGCAGGAGACACTGACATTTGCATAACAATAATGACAGATATTGCGCCATGCTAATAAATTCCTAACAAAATCAATCAAAAGCAATAAAACACATCGATATATCTGGTTTAATAAAAAAAAAAAAATCTACATTTCAAATAAGATGAGATACTGGAAACAAAATATCACAGGAAACAAGACGTAAATATTGCGTTCATAGGTGTGCATTATGGCTTGGATTCTGCATTTCTAACCTAATTTACAATTTTTTTTTCCTCTTTATACAAATATTTCACATGCCATTCCAAAAGTTTTCTAACATGCAACAGATTGATTTTCTTATGATGAGTAACTAAAACCGTGTGGAAATGGGAGTCATTTGTGACGTTGTAAACAAGGATTTCTTCAGGGAATTCTGAGGTGAATTACATTGGTATTTATTTATTAAGAATTGAATCAAGGTAGGCCTTTCTTTAGCTGTCTTTGAGCCTGGTTTTGTTAAAATGGAATGTATATAAGAGTTATTAGGCTTAATATCTTAGGGGGGGGAGATTGTGTGTCTTGGTTTGTCAAGTTAATGTTTGTAAACATTGGTGACATTTTCTGGCATTTGTGTTTTTTTTTTTTTTTTTTTTTTTATCTATAACGCCACCTATATTACTGACTATAACACTTTGGTTGGATTATTTGTGAAAGATCCTCCCCTTTCTGTTGCCATTTTTGACACTTATTTTTAGTAATTGTGACACCTTTCTTTTCCTACTTCTGACACTCCTTGTGCCATTACTTGACACTATGTTATGCATATGATTCTCTTGTCTTTTGTTATTGATGGTATACCTCACTGACAAGTATTTAACAGTGGGAGATGTTTATTTTAAGATAAGTTGTAAAGATACAGGTAATGGTTTTGAAAAGGAATTTTTTTCTTACTCATTTTCTGACCAAAACCACTTGACATTTATCGCAAAATATAACAGAAGTATGTTGTTATTTTGATAATTTCTTTAGTAAAGCAATAACAACAATAGATATACTAATTGCGATGAAATGCAATCTTGCCATAAATGTAAAAATCTACAATTTACTATAAAATCCCAACTTGCTATGTCCTCTGTGCCTTTTGGTGTAATGGCAAAACTAATAAACTTTGACTGTGTATTCTGCCAAGGTAGAGCTTGGACTATTTCCTTATTTGATTAGGAATCGCCAAGAAGGTCGACAGACTCTCTCATTCTAGGATATAAGTGATGGAGATTTTTAGGCTCATGCATCTGTATGCATCAAGAATAGGGCAACACATCATTAGAAGAAAATTTATGAAAAACAAAAATTCTCACGGTATGAAAAATAATCTGCGCAAAGTGAAATTGAGCCTATAACTGATTACCAAAATGTGCAAGTCTATGCATAAAGAAATGCTTTGACCTCTGTGTTTCATGCTCTGATGACGATCTACAATTTGCAACTATGTATCACAAGATAAGCTTGTTAAACTCTGTGGTGATTCTTTATCAAACAAGAAATCAAAATAAGCTCTGTAGATGTGATGGAAATTTGTTGGCCTTTGCTTGAATGTGAGTTGATGAATAGATTATACATGAATTATATATACGTAAAATATACAAGAACTATAAACATTTGAAATTTGCGCAAATTATATGTACATAGATAAAATGTATATAAATTATACATACATAGATAAGATATACAAAAATCATACATACATATATAAAACATACATAAGTTATGCATACATAGTTAACAACAACAATAATAACAATAATAACAACAACAATAATAACAACAATAACAACAACAATAACAACAACAACAACAACAACAACAACAATAACAATAACAATAATAATAATAATAACAACAACAACAATAACAATAAAAATAACAATAACGACAAAACAAAAACAGCAACAAACATTATATTACAGCATATTTGGAGACTTGTATGGACACTCAAATGTACACCCACCCACCACACAAAAAGGCATCACGACCCACGCCCACACCACGCCCACGCCCACGCCCACGCCCACGCCCACGCCACGCCCACGCCCACGCCCACGCCCACGCCCACGCCCACGCCCACGCCCACGCCCACGCCCACGCACGCCCACGCCCACGCCACGGGCCCACGCCCAGACCCAGACCCCAGATTCACACCAACACTTACATCCATACCAACATTGACACCCAGACCAACCCACAACTACACCCACATCTACACCCACATCTACACCCACATCTACACCCACACCTAAACCCACACCTACACCCACCCACATCTAACCACATCTAACCCACACTTGGTTTCACATCCACACCTACACCCAAAAAAAAGTAATTTGATTTCTTTGATGAATAGAAAAATTAAAGACAAGACCTGCTCATTACCATAATCATGACCATTGTATATGATTTGTAGTCATAATACTTAGACCATGTAGGCCATAGCAATTAATTGACAGTATTTGTCGTTAGAATTTGTGATAATATGGCAATGGATTTGGATCCGCCATAGACTGGTGTCAATCATCTCTTTAAGGAGGTTTTGGGTGTGGGTGTGAGTGCCCACAGGTATGGCTGGTGTGCTGGAGATCGCCGGGGAGAGCCGGGGCGGCTCACCCGTCGGCTAAAGCCTGGGTAGGCCTTGTTGCTGCTTGCTGTGTCTTGCTCAGCTGGAGGATCATGAGTGATGAACTCGGCCCGGGTGCGGGAGCTTAAGTTGGTCTGAGCTGTGTAAGCTACCCGGGAAAGAGGGGATCCTGCCGTCCAATAGGCGAGCCGTGAGGTGTCCGTGGTCAACCAATCAGGTCTCGGTATGAGTCGTCGAGAAGCTGCTGATGGTGAGGGCGAGAGGACAGGCTGTGCACCTGGACCCAACCTGGGGGAAGTATGCTGCTCTGCAGGTTGCGGGGGTCGGCTACAATAACAATGTCATAGACAGAGGTCTTCAGATTCATTGACATCTTGTTTCCATATATGATTTACCCTGTACTGTATTTATGTTAACAATTTTAATTTTACCATAGATATTAAGATTAGAGAACAGATTATGTGCAATGATGGCAGATGAACACAAGAGACTTGCGTGGACTTTAAGGTCTAACTTACTAATTTTTATATGAGGGCCTCAGAATAAATGTTTAAACAAATACCATGTAATTGTCCTTTGGATTGTGTTTGAATCCTGACTAGGTACTACAATACAATACAGAAAACACTAAAAAAGACCCTTGGGCCACAATAGCACCAGAACCATAGCTGTTATCTACATTGCTCTACTTTTACTGTTTTAGATTGTATGTCTTTGATTCTATGTTGTATAGAGAATGTACTGATATAATTATTGAAGTGTTGCATTTTGTCTGACACAAATAATTTTTCAGGGAGTCATTTTTAGTGCCTAGAGGAAGGAAAAAACAGCCTTAACAATGGCTTTTGGGGGAGGTCCAGAGTGGAAGGAATGGATTCCCCTGACTCCACTGCTAGACCAACTTCCTCAGCAATTCCAGCGGGGGTTGGCAACATCAGACCTTCAACTCACTTGCTTGGCCTCCTTGCCGCAACATCTTGTGTTGGGGACCAATGTAGGCTTGGTGTATTTGGCTCATCTTCCTTCTCTTAATCTAATGAGGCTGAAATGTGAGGTAAGAAATAAGGTACTCATCTTCTGTGACAATTATGTATACAAGACGTAGAGCTATATAGATATATTTGTTTGATTTTATTGTCCTCTTTATATACTTTTTTTTGCTGTGTGATTGTGAATGGCTTGCAATTGCTAACTTCTTTCATTATTAGTCCAGTAACTATAGTAGAGAGATATAGGCTTAAAGATGGCTATTTTTCAGAATCCCTTATCACCTATATCAAGTGTCAGTGGAGTTAGCACTGTGGATGACATGATTGCAGCAGGAGCTCTTGATGGCACTATTACCATTTTCCAATTACCAAGAGTGGCTAATGTACAGGGTATTCACCCACCAAGTAAGGAATTCCATTTTAATTCTAAATAAGATAATTTGAGCATAAGTTATTGCAAATAGTTAAAGAATAAAATTATGCATCAGTGTTGCAGTAGTCTCAGCTGATGTGAAGTTGGCTATTTTCTTTTTTAGATGCTGGTGTCCTTGGTTCAAGGGGAATATCTACAGTACAGCCAACTGTGAAACGCTTTACTGTTGGAAGCATTCACAGTTCAAGAGTGACGAGCTTGACATGGAGCAGAAATGGCATGCGACTGTTTTCTGGTGATACACATGGTGTTGTGTCAGTGATTGACATTAATTACCAAACAAATGAGTGTACTGCAAGGGAATTATTGAAAGAAGAAAGTAGCATCACTCAACTGTCATATTCCTATCAGCAGTTAGCTGTATCCACCCTAGAAAGAGCCCTGATTTATAATGTAACACAAGGAAGTGTGCAGCAGGTTGGTATGAAGCCCAGAAAACACCCAGGCTTGTTTGGTTGTGTATGGTCTTCTACAGTCTCAAGTGCAGACTCTGTTCTATATACCTCAAGACCTGGGTTACGTCTTTGGTCAGCCAATAATCATGGTGAAGTCATGCATACACACATAATCAAGGAATTGCCAGATGTGGCTCAGATGCAGCTTTTAAATCCTAGTCTGGAAAAGCCTAGGGATGGCGAAAGATTTTCCTTTGGCATATTATTCACACTTGGAACATCTCACATTGTTACTTATAATCCAAACTGGTTGTTTGTGATAGACATCAATAATTTAAAAGTATCAAGCTACAGTGGACAATTCAGACACATAAGTGGTGTTGCTGTGTCTGAAAAGGAAATATTTGTGCTAGAAGGGTCGAGAAATATCAGCTGTATCAGCACTGAGAAACCTAATATAGGGGAGAAAAGGAAACCATTAAATCCAAAAACTTCTCTTTTTCCTGATACCCAGAATCTTTTGGGCATTAAGTCAAAAATCATGACACAAGGTTCGGGCTTCCTTGACCACATTGCCCGCATGAGCAGCAGTGTTGCTGCAAAAGTTCAGGAACATGCTACTCCAACAATTGTGACAGGCCAAAATGGCAAGTGGCCAGCATCACAAACTTATGATAGTTCTCAACTAGATCCAGTTCAGCATAGGCCTACTTCTCTTAAAGCTCAGCAGAATAATCTTTCCTCCTCCTCCTTGAACATTGGCCCCAGCAGGCAGGAGCTTGGCCACCAGAGGTCTTCCTCATCTGGAATGATACAGGAACCACAACAGCGCCCCTACTCCCCAAGTCTAATACCTCCCAGAATGGTTCAGTCTGTCAGCAGTTTCTTCCCTGCTCTTATCTCTTCCCAGTCTTTGGTCAAGACATTTGGCAAAACTCCTCCGCTGACTGATGTGCCTGTGCCGGTAAGATACATAACAAATATAATTGTTTTAAGTTGGTAACAGTCTATATTCAGTCTATCAGTGGTGTACAGTGCAATTATTACTGCAGGCCAGATACAAGATAAGCAAACTGTGTGGGCCAGATAACATTTAATAACATGAGCAGTGTGCAATCACCTCATGATGATTAATCCATTATTATGATCCCTGGATGTTCTTAAAAGGAAACAAAAGTAGTAGTTTCTTTGGTATAAAGCAGTGGAGAGTAGCAACCATATAAAACTATCTTTAGTGACCTTTTTTTTTTCTTCTTTATTGGTCTTTTATTGATGTAATTTACTGATTTTTAATGCAGGGAAGCAGCACTTCTCTGTCTCTCTTAGATTTATAGCTTTAGTTGACATATTTGTAGAAGTGTAAGTGATTTTCTTATTTAAAAAGCCAGTTAAATAATGTAAAACACAAGATATGGCCTTCAAAAGTATGTTGGGTATGTTTGATACCCCAGGTAAATTATTAATGATAGTTATAGCTATTCAGGGTTATTAGACTTTACAGAAATTTTAATGATTTTGCATTCAAAAACAATATTTATGGAATACAGAATCAAATGTGAATTGTTTAACCCATTGCCACTGTGGATGGCATGTACATACATGAAATGATTAAATAATGTTTGGGTGTTGGATTAGATATTGCATGCAGTTTGTGGTTTGCAGTCATCCCTGTGCCTTTACATTATAGTGGAACATTTGTCAACTTTAGATATTTTTCATAGTCCACTTGTTTAGGGGAAGACAGCTAAGTACTGTGGATAGTAACTTGATGTAAAACCATTGCATAAAAGAGAGAGACCATAATTTGGCATAATATAAAATGGCATACCCTATATTAGTATAGCAAAATATACCTTAGCATAAGAGTTTATTTTAATATAACCATCTCCATTATGTTGAACAGCCTCAAAGGCAATCATTATTGAAATAATCATATCCAATAGCCAATGCACCTAATGCAATGTGTATTTTTATAAAACTGTAGAATATGTATTAAGAGAGTGTATGGTGTAATATAGTGACAGTCCATCCTTTATTTATTGTCTCTGTACAATGATCTTGTTCTTCTGTATGTGTATCAGGGAGAGCGCGAAGTTATTGGGGATTTGGAGGAGATTGTCACAAGTTCTCAGATTGTTGCTCAAGAGGGAGCAGATGCTGAACCCTTAGTTATGAGAGACAAGTCAAAGAAAAAGAACAAGAGAAGATATGGTAAGATGTTATGTTCAGAGTTTCTTGTCTTAGACATGGATGAACTTAATATTGGTGGATTTGGTAATAATGTTAATCCAAAGCATATGTTATTACTTTTATGGTAAATAATGTTTCCTTTGTGTACCTATAAACTTTTTGGACTATTCTTTGCAATTGTAAGGTTCAGGAAAATGAGTATGGCAAGTTGTGTTTTAATGTAACTATTGGTTCAGGTACCCTTCTTGTTATTTAGAAAGAATATTTTAGATGGCATTTATATGCAAAATAACTTATTTTGTGTAATACTAAATTCTACTTGCCCTGTTATTGCTGTGTAAATAGTCTGTATGGATTTTTCATAGATGTATAATGTATTTCATTCTTTAAAATTAGATTAATATATATGGATGTTATCACAGTCTAGCCAATTGTTGCTTTTATTTCTTTTCTTTTCTTTCATAGATGCAACACCGTCACCAGATACCATGAGTATTAACAGCTACAGATCCACACAGTCAGATGTGAGTGATGCTACTAGCAGTGAACTGCCTTCCAGTCCTTCAATGGCCCTTTCTCACAGCTCTGTCTCACCGTCTCATCGAGCAACCCCACAGGATTTGTCAACAACGCTCACAGAGTGCAGCAACTTACAAGCAATGGAAGATAATGGGGAAGAAAGAGTAGAAGTCGATGGTGGAAGTAGGGTGTGTGGAGATGGTAAAGATCATGCTCAGACTTCAGAAGATGAGCAGGAACTTTGTGCAAAAGGAAGCAGTGACAAAGGAGAGAGTACCAGCCATGATACTGACTTTGATTTAAAGAGTGTAGATAACAGAACATATGAAGACTTCAAATCTAATATAGAACAAAAGGAAAGTTTGTTAGCCGAGATTCTTAATCTTGGGTGTCTGAAGATGGACCATGAGAGTGCAAACAAAGGTGAAAAAAAACTGTATGAGACTGAGAGTCGCCATGGGATTGATAGGGAGCTTAGCTTTGAAAGTGGAGGATGCTCAACCCCAAGCACAGTTAAGGAACAGTCCCCAGTACCAGATGGACCCGTGTATGAAGATTTTTTCGCCCAGTTCTATTCAGAAAATAGTTTTAGTTCTTTTGAGAGTGGACCAGACTCATCTAGTCAGAAAGTACATGATTCCAATGTAGAAAACAGTTTTGATGGAAATTCACTAGGCAGCAATGATGGAGGAGAAAGAATTGAGAGTAATACTAGTGAGGATCGGCTGAGTTGTCTGAGTTATGGTCCTCCTTCTGGAAGTAGTCATGTGTCTCTTCCTGGAAATAGATTCCACACTGAAAGCCAAGAAAATGGTACAAATGAACCTAGAACTATGATAACAGTGACAGACTCATCAGAAGTGGCAGATATAAGTTGGTCATACTCAACAGTGGAATTTCAGGATAATCATGAGTATGAGAATGAAGAAATGACAGGTGGTTGGATAAAACAGAAAATTCCAAGCAGTGTGTTTAGTTTGAGTGTCTCTGAGAATACAATAACTTTCCTTGATGACTGTGGTTGTTTGTATTTTAAAAATGTTAGTAATGATTCAAGCAGTCAGACTTGGAGAAAGGTGAAATTGACCGCAAAAGTAACAGATATATCGCTTTCTCCAAACAATTCTGTTCTCTGGATACGTTCTGATGGCCATGCATACGCTGTTGGATCTCCAGCCCTAGAAGTAGTTTCACCTGCAAAAATGTCATTAGCTGCTCGGAATGTGAAGCAGATGAGCCTTGATGATGAATTGGCTTGGTACATACGAGAGGAAGGACAGGTGAGTGAAGAAGGCAAATTTAAGAGGAGTGATGTATTCAGCATGATAGTTATTCTTATGCATTATCCAGAAAAGGTCAATTTTGCCATTAAAATATGTATGTCTTGAATGAAATTGCTTTAATCAGCATCATACTCTTGGTTGTTAGCTGTATTTTTCTAATGATGTAAAGTCTTTATAAGTGATGAGCTTTATAAGTGTGTTACAAATGACCCTTTTTTTTCTTCTTGATGGGGTTGAGACTGCTATGGATTCTCACTCTTTTGGCTTGACCTAGGCCCACACTGTAGAGAAATAAGAAGCTAGAGATTTCTCTTTTGTTTAGGGAAGTTGGGAGGGCAATGAAACTTTAAAGGATATGATCTTCGATAGTTGTTGAATATTTTTGAGAAGTTATAAATAGATATATATTAGAATATTTGTATTTATTTATTTATTTATTTATTTTTACAAAATGTTGATTTAGCTTTATGGAACTATTAAAGATGAATAAGTACCCATGTTGGGGCTCTGGATGAATGCTGCATTTATACAGATTTGCAACACTTTTATAACACCCATAAATTTTTGTAAATACTTTCTTACAAAACCAATAGGGCAATAGGAAGTTAGTATGAACACACTTCACTCTTGGAAATTTTCTGTTCTTGCAAAGTGCATTTCAATGAAATTTTTCTTACTAGAGCATGTACGATTATTGATGACTGCAGACTCATTCAACAAGACATATTATTGAAGGCAGTGGGAGAATGTTCCGCAAATTATATCTGTTTGGCATCAGATAATATGATCCTGTGTCAGAGTTGTACATGTAGTATGATGCATACAAAAAGAATCACACTATTTCATGGGTATAGTCACAGTATTAAAACATCAGATAAGATTAGTGGTTCCATTACTCATAGCCAAATGCATAGTATGACATTTTAAAATTGAATCAAGAATGTCCAAACATGCACTATGAACACAAATATACAATGCAAACCCCTGCATCAGATTCCCTTAAGGCTAACATGATTTTATTAAACGGACATATGACAATGGAGAGTACTCATCTAACTGTAAAAACATTACATAGGAATAGTAGTAATTAATTTATTATTTACCCTATGCTATTCCTTTCTGTTTTTCTCTTCATAATTGTTTTCCATTAAACATCACTTAGTATGTTTTAAGATTGAGAATATTATTTATTGTTTTTTTATTTCAGAACCATAGTATGAAGGAGTGATCCTCAAATCCCCTAAGGATTATCTGTCTGTGAAAATAAAAGATATATATTGTTGAGATCATCGTCATCATTAGGCTACTTCATTCACTCTCCATTGTAGCGGAGCTTTTATTCTCCTATATGTATTTTTTGTATCTACTTGTGGTATTGCAGCTGTTATCTTTTATCAAATTTTAGCTAGTTTAAACTGGTGATAAATGCTTTTAGCCTTAGTAAGCTACTAATAATTATTGAATGCTTAATATTATGATTTACAATAACTCTGTTTGTTTGGTGGCATTGTTTGGCTGAAGTTATACTGTCCTATAGGAATAAAAAAAAACTATCATGCCACAGGTGATTTTGCAATAAGAAAAAAGTATTGTGCAGCCTTTATTAACCCAATGCCGTCAGGTAAAAAAATTTGGTAAGTGGACGTGATAACAGGATTGTTGACGCACATTGTCAGTTTCCCCTGTTTGCGCACAGCTTGTTTGGTAGTTTGTGAGTGAGATTTGGCACCTAAAATCTTTTATTTTGCTTTAATTTATAAAAAGAATATAAATTTGGTTTACCTTTATTATAGGTGCTATTGCCGAAAATCATATAAATGAAGCCTCTATTATAGGAGGAAAACAAACTCTGTCAAATGAGCCAATGGTGCAGGAATGGTCATGATATGATGCCATACGTTTTTCGGTCCACAACAGTCATGACATGTTCGTACATGCCACCCGGCGGCTAGTGGTTAATGTACAAAGATAAGTGCATGTGAAGTGTAGTCATCAGTTTCTAACAATTTATTTTTACAGGTTTGTGTGCAGCTAGGATTGAGCAGCCGAAGTCCATGTGGTGTCGAATACACCATATCATGCAAGGAATTCCAGCTGGTTAAAGTGGTTTGTCATGCAAGAGTGGTTTGGGGCCTGACTGACAGAGGACAGGTAGCTTTCAGGTGTGTTGTAAATAATTATAGTCTATGTATTTTTTGATTTATTAATTACTTAAAGATAAAGAGAATATTATTATTTTTTTTTATATATCTGTTGATAGAAGAATCGGGAGATGGCATTTTTATTTGAAGATGTTTTGCAAGGTGTTGTTCAGATTGAATAATTATACTTTCAGTTGTTCAGATTAGAAAGGTGTTATAGTTAATATGTTCAGTATATTTTTTCTCTTATCATAATATCATATTTAAATAAATATACTGAGTTTATTACCATTACTTTATAAGACTGTAAATAAATTTTCACACATTCATATAAAAGATAATGAAAGAGTATGGCTATTTGTAATTTATTGTATTTACCTTTGTATGATTTTACCTTTTTATGATGCCCATGGAAGTTTGAATATTGGTCTGCATATTTATCGTGTTGAATAGTGGATGCTAGGCTTATAACTTTTTTCTTTTACCCTTTTTATTTTCTAGATAATCTTTCAGTGAGCCACCCTTATTTCTCCTCCTCCCCCTTTGGTTATTTATGCCAGAGATCACAACTTCAAGCTTGGTTTAGAGATGTGGGTTGTTAAAAGTTGTTTTCAGTTAAGTATGATTGTTTAATCCTTTTCTTTAGTAATAGCTGCTCAGAGGAGACTGTTCTACTGGTGAAGTATTCTTTTTAAGTCTTCATTGTACACTATTCTTGGTTACTCTTTAAAGGATATAAGTTCTAGCAGGAACCATATTAGTGGCTTAGTAACTCTTGCTAGGACCATCTTGAACGACTGCGAGACTTGAAAAAGATTTATAGATTAATGTGATGCAAAAATTAATGGATAGTAATGCATGCCTCTGTAGTAATCATGCATGTTATTATCATTACCCAGTTGGTACTGGGCATCCTGCGCCATCCCATAATCATGCTTATTTTCAGATTTTCAATAGAATAAAATTAAATAAAACATTACCATTACAAATAAAAAATATGTGAATTACCAGTGAATATGAAATACAAAAAATGTATACTTATCTTCTACAGTATAGGGAGAGTTAACCAGTAATGTGATTGAAACCATTCTGGAAATATATTTGTTTAACCACTTCGAAGTAGTAGGCATCACAAAGTACATAATAGATGATAGTAATATATAGTATCAATTTTCAGGAAAACTAAGATTTCACAACAGTTATATTATTTTTTAGTAGCCCTTGCATTGAAGATGAGCATCATATGGGAATAGTGGTAGTGTGTTTAAACTGATCAAGCTTATTTTTAGTGACAAACTTTAATGGTGATTATGTAAGAACAATTTCTATGCAGGTGTTCCTTAACTCATAGGATGGATGATTTTCCAAATTTTACAACTGTGGGATGGATATATTTTGAGAAAACTTGTTTTGAAATGAAGCAAATTATATGAATGGGGATGAGAGCAGCTGAAAAAAATTCTGTTTGCACTGGTCAGTGGTGAGTGATGATTGCAAAAAATAGCTGCACCTGGTAGCTGGTGGCTGAGAGCGGACAGGCAGAGTATTCATTTTTAAAAAAAATTAGTAACAGAAGAGTGTATTTTATATTGTTTTATTTATTATCATCATCATGATTAGCACTTTCATCAGCATCATCATCTTAAGTTATCTTTTATCATTCAGAGTGAGTGTAATAATGATAACTTTCCGCAAGGTTGGTCATTGTCTGATTCGGCTACTAGGCCTACAAAGTGATTGATTGCTTCTGTGGGAATGGGGAGACCTAAGGGGGGCCTTAAGGGGGTGGCATTTCAGCCATATCATGCATTTTATAAGCCCATTGAATAGGAATACTTTCTAGAATGTGCCCCTGCTGTTTGTGAAACATCAGGGTTTTTCCTAAATAGATGTTAAAAGACAGATACAGACATTGAACATGGATGCAGATACAGTAAAAGTGTGATTATGGAAGGGATTGCCCATGATTTTGCATTTATTACAGTTATTATTTGGAAATTAGAAGAGCAGAATTATTATTTGGAAATTAGAAGAGCAGAATTGAAAAATATTTTGAGGTGATTTTACCAATGAATACTGATGAACTTCTGTGTGGATTTATCTTTTTTGCAAGTATCTCTGAGATTTACTTCAGGAAATATTCTAATAAGGGCAGTGCTAGAAGAACAGAAAACTTTTTTCTGTCTGTGTCAATAATTAACAACGCTTCTCACTATCATGTGATTTCCTTCATGAGAAGAGAAGGAATGATCACAGGGAAGTAAATATATAAATATCACACTGTATGTTTGGTTAAAATCATACTTTTCCCCATTATTTTTCTGAATGGGCTGCTGAGTGCTGTTTATTCCTGTAGAAATCTTCTCTCATCTATCAATAGTATATCATAATTTTACAGAATAGGAGTGAGTACCCAGTCTCCCATGGGGCATGAATGGGGCCTGATGAAGAGCCAGGGACTGAAGGTCAAGGATCTTGCCCTGGGACCTGGGAATTGGGGATGGATTGTAGACACACAGGGCAAGGTCTATTTCCGGGCTGGTGTGTGTGCTGAAAATCCTCAGGGAAGGGATGCAAAGTGGTGGCAGGTGAGGCAGAAAGACAGATCTAATTTTCATCATTTTGAGTTTTAGTCACGGCAGCGCTGTACTGCTAATGGAGTAAAAAAGATAACAGGAAAAAAGCAACTGACAAATTATTCATATAATCTTAAAAGAAAATAGTCTTGTGTAGATATCTTGTTTTTCCCTCTAATACATGTCTTAGATTTTGTAAAGACTATTTTGACTATCTAAAGTTTGGACTTCGGCAGGTTGCTACAAGTGACTACATGATGGAACAAACCAGTGAACTAGGATCTGCTATGATAAGTTTGTCATCAAAAGGAATCTATTTAGCAGAGAGAGGGAAGAACTATGTATACAACCACAGTACAAATGTGAGAGGTAAATAGCAATTTAGATAATAAAGAGATTAGTCTGTTTTTAACTTTAATGACAAGTATTTGCTGTGATGAAATGAAAAGAAAGAAAGTGTGTCCCATACATTTTTTGAAATATTTAATCTCTTTATATTGCAGGCCATGTTTGGAATGTATTTAGCAAAGAAGTTTGGTCAACTGTATGTGCAGAAGGTGTCTACATGGACCAGGGTGCAATCTGCTGCCTGTCGCCAAAGGGTCAGCTCTTCATTGTCAACCCCAACACTTCTAATTATGTGGTATATTTTGTGTTTACTTGCTGATGCTGTGTTCATTGCTGATAGTGATAGTGATTCATTTTGTTTTATTTAATTCCAGTGGAATAATGTTTGTAGACTACTTGTAGGTGGAAATAACTGATGATGTGCCTTGATTATAAGCTGTACATTGAATATTTTGCCCAACATGCTCTGTAAGTAGATAGAGTATGTTAACCCAATAACGATGGGTGTCCCATATATAAGACACCAGAAAAAATAAACATTGCTGGGCGTCCCGCCAGTGTGATGCTGTATTGGGGCTCGTGCTCCGATGCAGCAGCGGGCCGCAGCCAGCGGTTGGACAGACTCTGGGGAAGGTCCGCCCGCCGATTTTGTAGCCGCCCGGAATCTTTTATTTTTGGCTTCAAAATATACCGGCATGAATGGATTTAGTTTTCAGTGAAATTCACTAGTGGTGTGCAGAGCGGGGTGGAGGGCGGCTGAAGGGCGACAGCCCTAGGCATCTAAATGGAGAGTGGGACATCAAGTCAGGGAGGGGAATAAGATGGTGATTTTATATTTTTCTATTTAAATAAAATAAAGTGTTTATTTTCATGTTTCATTTAGGTTTTTATTTTGAAAATATCTCCATTTCTCATATTTTTCATTTAGTGTT